GGATGGATGGACGAGATGGATGAAGGCTGGAATGATAGTTGTATTGGTGGAAGAATGGTGTATTGTAGGATAGATAAAAGAATTTAATGGGGATGGAATGGAATGCCTAGATTGTCAGATCAATTAGATAAAAAATCCTTTCGCCTTCAACTCTATTCCACACGGACAAAACATAGCATTTTTTACTTTTTTTCTTGATCGCAAAATAAAAAAGATTGAACGAAAAAAAGAAGCTCGACCGCCATTACTTTGACATCTATCGTTCCTCAGGTCAAATGTGCAAACGCCTGATACTATTCATTATGCATGTCTTTATTCTAGTAATCATCAAACCTGTTATCAGATGTAGCCAAACGAACTCTAACATATATGTCTTCAACATTCCTTTGTAGCAAAGATAGTAACAAGGCGGATTTGTAAGAGTATACCATTGCTTGATTCTTTTTGATCATAGAGTCAGATCAACAAGGATGCAAAAAAGGGTTCATGAAACACTAACAAACGTTTAGACACTGACTCCAATTATACACTCCACGCTCTGTAGCCGTTACCGGTATACGGTTCCACACCATGTACGCTGCAGTCAGCTTGCTATGATGACAATAATAGCCAGAAAAAATCGGTGCAATACAAAATTGACTCAAAATTGTGAGCTGCTTCAGAAAGAAGGCAAAATGAAATAAAATTGCAGTGGATTTTCAAACCAAGAGACAAAAGTAAACATTAAGGCGGTTCGTTCACTGATCACGAATCCATAATGATTTCTACTGGAACCCTTAACGAGTTGAAGGTTTCGTTTTGTCGGGTTTAAATTACTTAGATGAAATCCGTTAATCATTCTAATAGAGTTAAAGTACTTCCATACCTACCTGAGGCACAGAATAAGGCACCTAGCAAGACCGAGGCATAAAAAGGCGCCATTTTTAACGAGAACCTCAGCTACCCTGGAGATGCTATGTAAACATGAATGACTGATCTCATTGAGGTGATCTGACATTTGAGACCTGGTAAGCGTTGTAACACAAGGGGAGGACTGAATACCAATCGATTTTCACTGATCAGAATAACATTAGATAAGGCCGGGGTATCCTGTGTCTAATAGTAGTGATGCGAGGTATCTTTTACTGAAGAAATCTCGAAATTATTGGTTATCGTGCAGAGGTCTGAAATTCTTAATGCATTCTGAGTATTGCGTGACCTGAAAAATTGAAAAATGTATCATCTACCTAATTGATATTACAATTTAAATTTATGTACCTATCTAGTCTAACTTTTAAGTTATCATAGGTAGCTTGTACTTTTATGTATGTTATATTTCTCACAAATGTAAATATTTAAATTATGTTTTATATTAATAAGTATTGAATAAAATATTGATTGATTGATTGAAGCTGTAGCCCACATACCTCAGTCACATGACATACTAATAAAGAAATACGAAACTGTAAAAGAACCTTCACTGTTTTCGTAAACCATAAGATAGTAATGATGGAAAGGTTTTCCCAACCAAAAAGCACAGACAAATCTTCCCTAGCCTTAGAAACACATCATATAACTATGGATCTAAAATAGATCCAAGCTGGCTTGATTCCGGGTGTTTTCAGAATAGCAGTTTAAATAAATTAATTTATCTTAAGTTAATTTGCAAAATAGACTAGACTTTTTAGCATTAACACGAAGTGTGTGCCCTTTTATTAGTATTGTCTTGAATGCGAGGATACAAAAGATCGAAATGACACAAGTCCATTCTCAAAGAACATTTTCTTGTGTATTTCGTGAACCCAAAGGCAGAAGGATTTATTCGCCTTGAGGTCCGAAGTCCATACGACGCCACACGCAATGAGAATTGTCCATACGATGCCTCGAGGGTATGGCACAGTGGAATAAAAAGTCTTTTTTTTTTTCTTCTTTTCTTCTTCTTCTTCTTCTTCTTCTTCTTCTTCTTCTTCTTTTTTTCCAAACACAAATTTTTCAACCATTTAACTTTGACATAAATTTTAATCCAGGAGAAGATAAACATCCGTGACACCAAGGACTCGAGATAAAGAAAAAAATATTGACCAGCGCTCGTTCTCTATTGAGTTGAAAAAAGCTATTTGTGCAGAAATGAGCTGTGTGTATCCCCCAACGATACGCCTCTCCACACGAAGGGTAAATAACCAAACAGTTGTTTGATCATCTGGCGCGCTAAAAAGATATTTAACACCCTTGGATGAATGAGAATCATTAAAGTTACTGCAACAACATGCTCACCTTGGTTGCCGTTCTTCTTGCTTTTCCTGCTCTCATCCAAGGTAAAGAGGTTCTGTTTATTGTTGTCTTTGGTTCATAGCTTCTAACTTGCTACCTGAAAGATTTTCAGTGCACAACAAATCAGTGACTCGAACCTTAATTGATAACAGATGGTATACCTTTAATCTATAAAGACATATTTTTATCGATTTTAGTTTGACACAAAAACCTGTGAAATTAGAGAATTAGAGATGATTCACTTCTTCGTGAACTCCTGTTTAAACGTGCCATGTTTTTTTTATCCCCGCCGAATAGCGGTGATCATCTAAGCTTACTGCATCAAAAATCACTCAACAGAACAGGAGCATATTAATGCCACACCCATTGAATCATTTGGCCAACACGTGTGTAAAATCGTTTGACTGCAAAGATAGTAAGTTAGTTTTTGAGGGCTCTGGATATTGCTGGTCAAAGTTTTAAAGAAAACTGTCATAGAGCAACATCCCTTCTTCGTAAACTCTTGTTTTAACTACGTATCTTAATTCCGCTAGGTTGCGGGAATCGTCCCGCGGGTGCGCGTGTGGTCAATGGCCAAGATGCCGCACAACATTCATGGCCTTGGCAGATTTCTCTTCGTGTTCGTGGCAGACATATTTGTGGTGGTACTCTGATCAGACCAGACTGGGTTCTTACTGCGGCTCACTGTGTTGATAGAAACCCTGTACCCAGCGGCTACACCGTGGTAGTAGGTAAAGTAATCATTGTTCTATGCTCCAAGAGAAACGTGTGCTATAAATCAGGACTAATAACGATGGTTTTCGTTATTACACAATTAAGAATGGTATACACGCATAAAGGTTATGTGTGGTTGGGGCATTATCTTGTGCAGTATTTTAATTTTCCGGCAACAAAATTGCAGATAGGAAAAGAGTGCGTCTCTAAACGTTCTCTTCACATCAATCTATTCGCATATTCGGGGATATGTCTTGGCGCGATAACATAAGTAAATGTGAAATGCATGAATGTCTCTAACTGGGTACATGTAGATCAATTTGTTGTTATCCTCAGGTGGTCACAGAAGACGAGGAACTACAAGCGTCCAGCAGACGTTTAACCTAAAGAAGCTTATCAAGCACTCTGGCTTCTCTATGCAGAACCTGAAGCATGACCTTGCTCTTCTGCAGCTCGAGAGACCTGTCAGCTTGAGTGATAAAGTGAATGTAGCGTGTCTCCCGACAGCAGATGCAATCGTTGGTTCAAAGTGTTACATCACAGGTGAGATCATTTAACACTGAGGCATTAGAAAGGCTTATCGTTATTAATGCTTCATTTTGCTATCAAAGGATGGGGTCGCACAAGTGGCGGAGGACCTTTACCAGACATCCTTCAACAAGCCATGCTACCAGTCGCTTCTCATTCAGACTGCAAGGCAAAGTACTCCATCGCAGATGCTAAGGCTCATCTATGTGCAGGGGAAGCCCGAGCAGCCGCGTCTGGTGGATGTAATGGTGACAGCGGCGGGCCCTTCGTCTGTGAGGAAGGAGGACGATGGGTGGTACACGGAGCTGTTAGCTTCGGCAAGAGAAACTGTCCAACAACACACTACACTGTCTTTGCAAGAGTCAACAGCTATCTGGACTGGATTAACAACAACATTGGTGGATGTAAGAATGCATAGAGTATCTCTTTGGTTGTCGATATAATTATTTTTCAACGAATCTGATTATGTTTTAACACCTTCGTTTTACAGCACCCACAGGAGGACCACCGACACCACCACCACCACAAACACCTCCACCTCCTACCCAAGAACCTCCACCTCCTACCCAAGCACCTCCACCACCAGGTATTTTAGTTGACCTCTAATTTAATCCATCTTGGGGCATGCTCAAACTTCAATGAAATATTTTGATCATTTATTCAAGGATGCCAAGATAAGTGGGGTACACGTATGTGTCAACTCTACAAGAAGTACGCATGCTCACATCCAGCTATAAGGAACTTATGCAAACGAACATGCAATTTATGTGAGTATTAATTATGTTTAGTATAACTCTGGTCAGTAATTGAGCCACTGATAATCCTTATGATATTGTTGCTTTTTTCAGGTTAAACCAGAGCAACAGAAAATGTTCAACATCTGGATGAAACTATAGTAACAATAGACAAATAAAAAGAATTCATCGAATCGATTCTGTTTACTGTGTTGTTCTATTGATGAATCAGTTTCTTTGCTCCATCCAATTCCCCAAATAACGACTGGAATTCACCTTTAGCTTTCCCTCGGTTGCAATATTCGCCTTTATAGAAAAGCAATCAACTCAGATCTCACGATTTACAAGTATATTCTAATGACACCTCAACAAATACTCGCTGTTGAAAGATTTCAAAGTTAATCAAATATAACATGATAACCCCCAGCCCGGCTACCTATATTTTATCGATACCCTGAAACGAATTAGTAGTTAGAATGTAAGGTTTTGTGGAGGAAAGAAAATCAGAGAAAATTCCTCAAATCAAAGGAGAGAGAGAAACTCTACCCAATACCGAGTTCAGGAATCTGGAACCAGAGACCCCAGAAGTGAGGTGCATGCAAGTGTACCACCGCTACCACTACCCTTGATCCTCAAGCAAGAGAATATGAAGTACTTACTTAATATTCTCTTGTCCCCAAGGGTGTGTCCTGGCAAGTAATCAGCTGGCTTAAGAAAACCCAGCCTTGATAGATAAAGTTTTTTCACTCTGATACAACGAATCAAAGAGGAGAAATACTAGTTAGCCAATCACAATAGAGATAGAAACGAACAGACATGCACTTCTTAAAGTTATGATCAGTAGGACTCGTATCTTTCCAGCCAAGAGATTTTCCATACGCGTCTCTTGTCATACTAGCTCAACGCTTAAACAATGAGGGAAATATGCCGAAACTCAAAAACAAAAGACATTGATAGACGACCAGCATCGTGCTTGGGATACGATAACCTGGAGGGATGAATACTGAAACAATATACCACACTCGTGCGCTTCCATAGTTACGCGTTGATTATTATTTTATTACGCAGTTTGAACGGTTAATGTTTTCACTCCATCTGACAATATCATGGGTCAGTGTTGCGAAAGCTTGGAATCCTAGTAATAAAATTCAACGTAGAAGAAACAAAAACATACTGAACTAAGATAAAACACATGCATTGCCGCAATCCAAGAAACATGCCTTGTTCAGCTGAACAGAATGTTTGTAAGAACTATGAAAGAGAGTTTGATCAGCTTGAAGTCCTTTGCGAGCCATGTTGATACATCTAACAACTGAATGGATAGATGAATAACAAATAGAAGGATGAATGGATGAATGAATCATCGTATAAAGACCGAGCTATAGATCGTATTACTGACATCGTGCAGGACATTCATATATCAAGTTTGTTTGACGAAGAAGACAGTTTGAGATGTATATGTGGATAGCTCTGCTCCTCGTCTTGCCTGCCTTCACTGAAGGTATTTGTAGCACCACTACTTAACATATTCAACAAGCCTGATATATGATATAGAGAGCGATAATAAGAAATATAAACATAACACATTCAGTTATGGATCATTTCTCCATGATCATGGTGTAGTTCTATCTAATGGTAACTCTTTCTATATGCCAGGATTAGGATGCGGGAAACGTCCCGCAGGATCCCGTGTGATCAATGGTCAGAATGCCGCACCCCATTCATGGCCTTGGCAGATTTCTCTTCGTGTTGGTGGGAGACATATTTGTGGTGGTACACTGATCAAACCTGACTGGGTTCTTACCGCGGCTCATTGTGTTAACAAGAACCCAGACCCCGTTAGATACACAGTAGTTGTAGGTATGTAGAATGGACGAACAAATCCAAACGCCTCAGAACTATGTTGAATTATTTCTTTAACAATTCATGGCCATTTGATTAAACTTTTTCAGGATCGCATTTACGAAGTTCAACCACGGATGTACAAGAGAAGTTTAAGCTCAAACAAGTCATAAAACACTCAGGCTTCAACACAAAACTAGAAAATGACATCGCTCTTTTGCAGCTCGAGAGACCAGCCACGCTGAGTGATAAGGTGAACGTTGCTTGTCTTCCAACAGCAGAAGCAGTTGTTGATGCCAAATGCTACATCACAGGTGAGATTCAGAACCATGCACTTGAATATACAACATAATAATGGTTAACATATGGTTCGAATTCGTTCGTTCATTCCAGGATGGGGTCGTATGGCTAACGGAGCTTCAGCTAACGTCCTACAACAGGCTGTTCTACCCGTAGTTTCATACGAGACCTGCAGAAAGATCTGGCGAATAAGACGAGGACCTCATTTGTGTGCTGGTGAGGGACGAGACGGGGCGTCTGGTGGATGTAATGGTGACAGCGGCGGGCCCTTCGTCTGCGAGGAAGGAGGACGATGGGTGGTACACGGAGCTGTTAGTTTTGGAATGAAGTGGTGTCCTACAACACATTACACTGTGTTTGCTAGAGTATCTAGCTACCTGGACTGGATTAACAGCAACATTGCAGGAAGTAAGTCGTGTTTTGTGCTCTAGCAATTCACGGTTGAGAGCTAAATTTTATAATATTATTTCGTTCTAGTGTCATTTTAATCCAGAAATTTATTTGTAGCTCCTCTACCTCCATCGCCACCACCACCACCAACTGCAGGATCGCCACCACCACCTCCTCCGCCAACTGCAGGATCACCACCTCCCCCTCCACCACCAACTGCATCTCCACCAGGTAAAGAACCTTCTGCTTTACTCCAGGTTAAACAACAATGATTCAGTTTTATTTTTATTGGAAGTAAACCCCACACAGTCTACACATTAGGGCTTGATCAACGTGAACCCTCAAAGCACAGGAGAGAACCAACAAACAACCCTCAAAGCACAGGAGAGAACCAACAAACAAACCTCAAAGCACAGGAGAGAACCAACAAACAACCCTCAAAGCACAGGAGAGAACCAACAAACAACCCTCAAAGCACAGGAGAGAATCAACAAACAACCCTCAAAGCACAGAAGAGAACCAACAAACAACTCTACTCACATCATTCAGGAGAACCAAGGGAGTTAAAACCGGAAAGCATTTGTGAGATGCGAATCATTCCCGCTGTCACTGAATGAATGGATAATACTAATACTAGTAATACTAATATTGATGGTTATCAATCTTCAACAGGAGGCTGTTCAGATTTATGGGGTTCTAAAGTTTGTACGTTTTACAAAAATCGCTGCAGCTCACAATCGTTTGTTCAGAAAGCCTGTAGAAAGACGTGCAATCTTTGTGAGTATCTTGAATCATGTATCTGAATCACTTTAGAGCTGATAAAGGCTAAAGAAAGTATTTTATCTATGATTTCAGGCTAAAAGTCCAGTCCTGAGTAAGACGGCGTCTCTATGGTAACAAGGGAACACTGTATTTTCACCCATGAAGTAAAATCATTAAAATGTTTATCTTGATATTTGTTAGTGGTTGTTCAGTTTCGTCGTTTGTACTTGCGCACACACTGCTGACCATGAGGCAATGTGTTAAAAGGGTTGTCAATATAAAATTTCAATAAAAAGTACAATCAAACGCGCTCTATGGCGAACTCGTAGATACTACTTGCACTTTTCAGAGATTGGGTTCCCTGTGCCCTTCTTATGCATGTCATTTTTTTTTTTTTTTTTTTGAACAAGGAGTTCGCTCGATCTGACTGGTAAGATGCGCAATCTTCCTTATATTTTCCTTTCAATTTCTAGTTTTGAGGTGTTTTTGTTGCTTGAAAAGTTATTAAAGATATGAACTATGTTTCATCAAGTAGATTTTTATCGGAAACAAAAACACCAAGCTCCAGGCAGGTGCTTTAATGACCATTAGGCACTTCCCCAAAACACTTGCTTAAAATTATTAAACTCATGAGCTGAAGTGATTATACAAAAGCGAAAAAATTAACACTTAACAGAAAATTTAACATATAACTACAAAACAACGAAAAAACAACTATAATGCCGGTAGCAATAGACCGTTTTCTCGAGGTTGCGTGCGCATCCAACTTGACGGGCCACAAAACTGAAAAACACAAATTCAGTAAAATTGAGAAGATAGTTTTATATTTATAGACGAGAGTAATCGATTTTATAAATTCTTATCTAAAAACAATTCATAGAAATGCATGATAATACTCGTGTTCTGGTATCGTGGCCCGTCAAGTTCCTTAAATTGGATTCGCACGCTACCTTGAGAAAACGGTCTATTGTTTTTTTGGACTAGCAACTAGAATAAGCCAAAGAGAAGGCTATAGTTATACTAGCAATACTTGTGTTACTGCTGGTCTAAACACTGCAGTCCATACATGTTTGTATGTCAGGAATTTCATAGAATTCTAAAATGTGTTCAGCTTGAATGTCTTTGAGAGCCATCTGCATGTCACCTTACCGTGTTGATACAGCTGAATGAACAAATGGATGACAGAATGAATGACAAAATGGACGAGTAAATGGATGAATGAATCATCGTATAAGACCTAAGGTCAGTAGTCGGTAATACTGACTGCCACAGGTAAAATACAAAGCAAGACGAAGTAAGTCTCTCTGTCTGAGGAAAAGCACGGTCAAATAATGATTTTCTGGGCAGCGCTTCTCCTCGTTCTTCCTGCCCTAATTGAAGGTACTTTAGTAAATTTTGAGCAAATTAAGTTACCGTTCGATTCTCGCGTGGTCTTTGCCGAGAAACATCATAGCGTGTGTTAACGTGAAGGAATATAGATTCACCATTATGACAACAAATGTCGAACGTTCCCTAATTTTACCATAATTGACGATCATCGCAAGTTGATTAGCATTTTTAAAGTCATAACCCGTAGTAAAACTGAAAACCAAAATTGTTTATTGCTTTGTTACTCTGATCCTTCGAGGTTGCGGAAAACGTCCCGCGGGAACCCGCGTGATCAATGGCCAAGATGCCGCACCTCATTCATGGCCTTGGCAGATTTCTCTTCGTCTTGATGGCTACCACATTTGTGGTGGTACACTGATCAGACCAGACTGGGTTCTTACTGCGGCTCACTGTGTTAACAAGAACCCAGACCCCAAAAGATACATCGTGGCTGTAGGTACGTTAGTAGTGATTTCATTATTCAATGGTGCGATGTGTTGGAAGCAATACCCGGATCTAGTGAATGATAGTGACTTTTCCAAATGTTTTTAGGGGCTCACCGAAGACTTAGTATTACTAGTGTAGAACGCTTTATGAAGATCAAGAAAGTAATAATGCATTCTGGGTACACGGACCAACAAAAACTTCATGACATCGCTCTTCTACAGCTCAGGACACCGGTAACTCTGAGTGATAAGGTGAACTTGGCATGTCTTCCAACAACTGAAGCAGCTGTTGGTGCCAAATGTTACATCACAGGTGAGCCAACAAAAAACCGTAGATGGTACGAAACATTTCCAAACGACGAGAAATACGTTATATTCTAATGCATCAGTGAGTCTGCGCACGACATTCACAAAATTTCTTATTGGATTTATTTCTGCAGTAAATCTTTTCAACTGTGACGTTTTGTGCCTAAAGGAATATTCTATCGAGCAGCATGTTTGTATGTAATGTTAGGAAGAATAGCGCTTTAAGATACCCACTCATTCTTATATATTTTAATTAATGTCAAGGTTGGGGTCGCACATCGGCTTCGAGTGGTTCAGCAGACACACTTCAACAAGCCATGCTACCTGTAGCTTCTCACTCAGACTGCAAGAAGAAGTTCACTATCGTAGATCGTAAGGCACATATCTGCGCAGGTGATGCTAAATCAAGTGCGTCATCAGGTGGTTGTCATGGTGACAGCGGCGGGCCTCTTGTATGTGAAGAGCGAGGACGATGGGTGCAACACGGGATTGTCAGTTTCGGCAAGAGAAACTGTCCTACAACATTCTACACAGTATTTGCGAGAGTCTCCAGCTATTTGGACTGGGTTAACAGCAAGATTACCGGATCAAGTAAGTAAATAACGTTACCAAGATTATGTCAACTCTCGACTGATCAAGTTAAGCGTCTTGCCAACCCCAACCAGCTGTTGGTATACTTCACACGCGAGTTGATTAAGAGATAATGAATTCATTTCAAAAATATCATGATCATTTTCTAGCTCCTTCGCCTCCTTCGCCATCACCACCACCAAGCCCAGAACCACCTTTGCCTCCAACCACGTCTCCAGCAGGTGAGTAAAATGCTTGTTTATCTTTGCGCTATAGTGACTACACATTTACTCTGTATTTGCCTTGTAGTGTACCTCGTTGAGTACATGTAAACTGTTTTTGTGTCTTTTAACGGTCTTCTATTGTTGTTCTCAGGCGGTTGCTCAGACAGATCAGGCCCTAAAGCATGTCAATACTTCAAAGACCGCTGTTCACAAGACTTCGTGAAGAAAGCTTGCCAAAAGACATGTGGTCTTTGTAAGTGGTAGTTTTACAGAGCAGTCTTTATGTATCTTAATTTTATTACAACAGAATAGAAATCACTTGGAGCCCAACCTCTGTATCTGTGCAGCCGGCCGTACTTTGCTTGGTAAAGGATAAAAAGATAAAGAGATTGGGCTTCCTGTGCTTCAAATCTTACCTTCTATAACTGACTATAGCTAGCAATAACCATGAAAAAGAGACAGAGCATCATCACATGGCTAATAATATCGTAATATTATTTATTTCAGGTTGAACACAGCTGATATCGCTATGGAAACCTAAAAAATCAATAAATAAAAGTCAATAAAAGTTATGATTTGGTTAAAGTCTGACCTGTTCTCTTCCATCTATTATTCAGTTGCTTTTCAAACACATTACCACCACACTTTCATTTCAATAAGCCTCGGAAGCGAGATGACGTTTTACCCCCGACTCTATACCATAATAGTTTTTAAAATTCTTTCATATTAAAATTTTTGATTCCTTAGATAATACAGGAACAATAGTCATAATTAAAGAACAAAAGCAATGTGAAAAGGATTATGGTCTAGAGACGGGGGTAAAACGTCATCTCGCATCAGGCTTATTTCCCCCCGAATAACATTATTGCAGCTCCAACTCTTTGAAATAATCTTCCAATGAATTTAGACATTGCAAGACAATACTTTCTTTTAAAGAAAATAGTTGAAGATATTTCTTTTCAAGTAAGCTTTCTTATTTTGATATTCCTTAGGTTGTCTTTAGTAAGTGTTCTTCATCGACTAGTTTATTATTTCTTTCTTGATTAGATTTTTTATATTTTATTTATATACAGCGCTTTCGACTTTAGGATTTAAAGTTTTATAAATACAGTTTTCTTATTAAATATTTACATATTATTTATTATATGTTATTAAAAAACAAATGAAACTGAACCCGAACGGGACGCGCAAAAGACGCCCAGATTGACGCCCACCGTCCAGTGCATGAGTGGTGGGTTTCCTGTGTGCTCATGCGTAAGAGCATACTTACAAAAAAAAACCGCTGAGCTAAAAGGCTCAAAACAAACTCAAAACAAGAAAGTACGACATAAAGACGAACAAATGTGGCTGATTATTTGAGCGTTTTACGATGCCTAAAGTGATTTCTAGAAGTATTGTATGCTCAGATACCAAGGATAAGGAGGAATATAATGCAGATGATGTGGCATTGTTTGTGTATTATTGTTTGTGTGGACAAATGGCCATGATTTTAGGTGAGTAATGGCGGACAATCTCTTCTCGTCAGAAAAATATCCAAGATCTTTTTAGCCAGTTCGTTTACTGGTACTTTACGATACACTTCATGAAGTTGATTTTAAAAATATATGTTGTAATTTTCAGATTGTACTTTGGATAAACTTCCTCTGAGGAAAGTAGACGATGCTCGTGTGATAGATGCTAATAAACATGCTTGTAAATTTAATAGTGTTGAAGGTGACGTCGTCTTTCTCAAAAGGTACTTCTGAAATAATCATTAAGATATAAATTTTCAGTAAAAACTGGGTGTCCATATGAAGTGGGCTTCTATTGGGGTGCTTTTGTTATGTGTAGTTTAACTACCCTGCATCATATGCCTGGCAAAGGAGGACAGACAAGGAAGTGGGGCAGGAGGGGCAATGCTGCACCAAAGTTTCTCTTTGCAAAGTGTTCAGACCTAATTTTAAAATCTGTATTTGCTATAGAACAGGAGGAATTGAGAGGCAGTTCCGACAAAAATGCAAAAAGTAAGTATAATACACCAATAAACAATATTGCATTGTACGGCATTAATAATTATAATAATAACAAGTTCTGTCCAATAACACTTTACTCATCACTGTGTTAATTATACCATTCTCTTTATTTTACAGGTGCAATCTGTGGTTATTCTACAGATCCTCTAAAAAAGATCAAAATATCACATTTGTCGTAGATGGTGAGCATACTTGTGTGATGCCTTAAATCCTCTCCAAATACAACCTTAAGTATTAACATGATCACTTTATTAACTACTTTTTAGGGGCAACTGTTCAAAGTGGTCAGAAAACACCAGTAGAAAAGGCAAAGTCCTCTAACAAGGTCAGTACTTTGTAGACAATTTTGATACAAGACTTTTCTCATTGATACAAAGACTTTTCTCAAGACTATTCAGTTTTCCTGCCTCAACAAAACCCAACATGCTAAATCCTAATTTGAGGAGTGAATTAGTTCTGCCTTGACTTATTGATCCACCCAGATGTTGTTTCAGGCTTCAATCAATATTTATGAATAACAGTGCCCGACATAGATCAGCCCAGAGGTTGTTTCAGGGTTCAATAAGATTAATTCATGCAAATATAGTTTATAACAGTATTTCATTGTTTTCATTAGGTCATGATGACAAAAAGGACCAAAGAGTTCGGTAAATTTGGTTCTGTCACTGTTTCTACTATTGACGAAGAAGAAGAAGAAATCGAACAGGTACACCTATGTCTCTTATACTACAGCTATCAAGCTATTGAAATATCTACAAACACAAATACTGTAGTATTAGTTGCTGCAGTCCTTTGCTCAGCATTGGAGCCTCAAACATTCACTGCCCTAAAAAGGTACATAACAAGTAATTGGTCAATTTGTTTCCTTTTTGTTATAGCATGAAGTGGCTTCATCGTATTCACATAATGCCAAGATAATAGAGAAACAACTAGAAAGAAAAACCACAGCACAGAAACGAGCCCACGACCAGGTACGATAACTGTTATATCTCAACTTGTGGTTTCAAATGATTAATATGTTGAAGTCAGAAAAGACCAAGGGTGCATCCACTGGGGTGTGGGTTGGGTGACTAGCAACCCCTGCTTTGGAGTTTGAAAAAATAATAAGAACTAGACACATATCTGCGTGAACTTGGGCTTCATAGCAGAAAATCGAAAGGATTCTTCGTGAACACTGTCATCCTTCTGATGAAACCTTGAAAAATTCCGCCATTGCTCGACCATGTGCTTATGTGGCGCATACTACGCACGCGCATAGAACTTGCGCATGCCCCTTGAACACAACTGCGATTTGTGACAGAACGCAAATAAAGCCCAATTTATACCTACATGTTTATGATGCATTTCTAGGTACAGGGCGCACCACTGAAGACTAATGATACATCATTCCTTATTTGTCCTGCAGGAATCAAAAGATGAATTTGGAAAGAAACCACGAGGAACTCTTCTTGACAAAACTTGATATCTTGACAAAAAAACTCATCAGTGTTATGCACTCTGACATTTATTTATTTTTATGTCATAAAGTCATGTACATCTGAAGCTATAAAAATCTGTAGCCCTTACCCCCCACCCCCATCCCCCACCCCCAAACAAGTTTCCCTCAACCCTAACATAGCATGTTGTATTATTATATCTTAGATATATTTTAAAGAACATTTTACTAGTATTAACGTTTTGTAAGTCAATACACTTAAAGATACATATGCTTGTATATAGTCAGAATTGTTCTTCGATTTGCAATAAAATGAAAGACAACTATGCTGAATAATATTTAGCTGTGTGTTGAATATTGCAATTAGTGAACTAGATGCAAACTACTTTGTAGTTTATCAGCCGAGAAAAAATATCTTGCAGTATGGTTAAGGAATCATATCATAGCAAAAGATCACAACATTGCTTTGTGAGATTTACATTTTGCGGTTCATTTACATTAAATCTTTTTTCCAATTTTTTTCAGTCTTTCTGTACTTTTCTGCTTTCTTATTTCCACTATCATACCATCAGACTTCAGTTTTCTAACCTGTGATATACTACATGTCATTTATGCCATGGTTTAATGTCTGACAATCATTCCTCTTCTGAAGGAATAATGGGTCTGTGTTCTGACTCCACATAGGAATCTAACAAGCCATTGCCTCGGTACGTTTTCGTCTGGCGATGCTTTCGATACCCGATAAAAACAGCGACAATCAAGATGGCGACCAGGGTAGTGGCACTGACACTGATAGCCGCTGTAGCACCATTAGACAAGGGTTTGGATGGACTCGGTTTGGACTCTTTATTCTCGTATTCTTTCAATTCCCAGTCCCCTGTGGTCATGTTCTTCACCCACATCTGACCATTCACCCCGATCACTACCACGGCTTCTGTTGAGTTAGGATTGGTACCAGGTTTAGGTGAAACAGGAAGTCTCTTGACTGGCTTTAGTTTTCCATCTCTGAAGGAACCAGTCTTGATACAATAATTGATTTCACACTCGTTATCCAGTGTTGCAAAGTGCTGACTGTAGCCGTTAGGACAATGGGACGGACCATAGAACTGACTTCCTCCAACCTCGTTGCTGCTTGCAAAGAACATCTCCATACTACTAAACGACCTCGTGAGCGTCCCGTTCACCGAGCGGTTTTTCTTGTTCGGGATAGCTAGCGGGTTACCCGCACTACAACTGAAGAATCCCGCAAATCGCAGCGAGTTCTGGTAGCCGAGCTCGTAGTCGTCACTTATACAGACATAAGCGTGACCTCCAAGTACTCTCGGGTAGAACCTATTGGGACATTTCTGACTTCCTGTCAAGGGGTTTGGAGAGGTAACCGTATACACCCCACCAAACAATACTCCAGTAGTAGGGGTGACATGGCTCCCTTGGGCTGCGCACCAGTAAGTATCATACTCARCCTGGCTGTAGTGTAGGACATTCTGACAATAGGTGTTACAGCATGTTGATAGCCAGAGGAACCCACAGCTGTGGCAAGATTTGTCGCACTGTGTCTTGTGGTAAGAGTAGGATTTACTGGGTCGTTTTCCACCTGGTCGTATCAGGAGGACTTCTTTGTATCCACTTGGACAAGAGAAGTCTCCTGTTATAGGGTTCTTCTGTTCAAGTTGAGTGCACAAGTTTCCTGCTTCACTGTGGATGGGGTAGCATCTTTGGAATACCCCGCCAAACGTAAAGTTGTATGCCGGATTTTTGCACGTCCCGTCGTCTATATTCGCTTGGAAGTAAAAGTTAGGTGACTGGCTGTCGGTACATCCGGGTAATGTATTCACCTTATAATACATCTCGATTGCCTTCTTTACCATGTTAGAGACATGGTTCACAGTAGGTGCGGGTAATCCTGGGATCGAAGTGGGGTTTATAGCATAAAAGAGTGGGTCACCATCCCTGTCGATGGGAACAAGTTCATTAACAAGTCCTTTCTCCCAGTCATTCACTGAGAAGTTAGTACCAAAAGGTGGCCCACCATGGGTGAAGATTCTCGATGAGGTCTGATTACTGGTATACTGATCTAAAAACTCTTTACTAGACTGGGTTTCTCCTCCGATCTGAAGACTAATCTTACTATAGAACGATGCGCTTGCCGCCGCTTTCACATCTATGGAGGTTTTGAAAGTGTTTTTAAGGAAGGTGTTCTTGATGTGGTCCTCTTTGACTAGTGCTGCTCCTGCATTCACGCTCGTAGTGTAGTGTGTCCCAAAATCTCTTATTAGTATCTGAGTATGGTACCATGCAAGATCACTCCTGTTGTTCTGTATGTTGGCGGCAATCTCGATGATACGATTCAAGAATGGTTTGCTGAGTTGTGCGTCTGGCTGGGATTTAATGGTGTAGAGTAAGTGTCGAACCTGAACTCGAGTCGTGAAAGATCTATCATTGACTTGTCTTTCCTTGTTGTATTGGAAGTCGGTAGAGAATGACCCACTCACCACAGAGAAGAATGATGCTTCAGCGTTTATAGAAAAAGAGCTTGAACTCTTGTAATCAGCCCAGTGATCATACAACTGTGAAAACATATCTACTCTGCTTTTTTTGATGGGTACTACAAAGGTATGGTCTGGTAGTAGGTACTTCTTATCTGCCGTGGTCTTACATTGAGTATAATTCACTAATAAGACTTGACTTTTATCAAGGTTTTGGAGGTTGTCCCATCCAATCCCTGGCAGTACCTCCATACGATTCGATTTGAGGTCAACATCGCAGTTTCTTGGATCTCCAACGATGAACTTAGGTCCAGGAACGTTGGTTGTTACCTCAGATGAAAGTACGGTTTGGTAGAGAATGGTTATCAAGAGTTGGATGAAGTTCAGCTTTAGGACTTCCATGATCAACCTGCACGAGTCTAGAGTAGACTAGGTATTGCAGTCTTGACCTGATATGCAATGCCTTTCATTCAACGATAAGCCTTCAAATATTAAGACTGAAATGTTTCGAAACCGACTCGTATCGTGTTTACTTTCTATTCCTATCAGTAGCTAGTCATATAGTCATTGGATATTCCGTTTGACCTATGTTTGGAATAGAAACTGCAATGCGTGATTGTCACGATGCGGAAACAAAAATGGTTTAACGCGTAATAATAATAATAATAATAATAATAATAATAATAACTTTATTAATGTCTCTATATCTTCTAGCCGGGCACAAGTGCCCTACTAATCGGGGAGACAGTTTTGATCAAGTTTTGGGTATGTCACGGCTTAGGCTGTCGCGCAAGGGATTTTCTCATGCCTTACTTTCGCTTCCATCCGAAACAGCAAATATTTGTTATATGTATTTACATTTTTTTGTATCGAAGTTCATGGTATCAAGAGTAATCTCGCGCAATCTCTGTTCTGACAAAGACAAATATTGTTTAGTAGTTTTAATTGTTGGTTAAAGCAGACAATCACATTTGTGATCAGGGAGGTGAAAGCACACATATATGGACATATATGGATATGTGGAGCAGCCACGTGAAACAGGATAGTCTAAGATTAACATTGGAAAGTGATAACTTCTAGAAAACTCCACAATTTGAAAAACTAAACTCAAAATGAAATTAAAGACGTACATGATATATAAATGGAACTAGAATGCGAAATTCTTGCCGGACTTTTTACTAAACGCAAACAATCAAAATGAAATTTTCGTATTGTTTGCAATACTGACTGCTGAAGCGAGTAGAAAAAAAGGTAATTAACGATACAAAATCTGCAAATGAAGACCGCAAATGACGCGTCCAAAAGACAAAAAATAGCTTAAGCGATGGTTTATCGTTTTAGCATTAATGATCCCCAAGCTTGCAGCATCAAAACTATAATAAATAGTTTAAACTCAGAGTATCGTGAATTCTCGTTATTGTAGTGTGAAAGTCATAAGACCGTGATTGTCCATTAGTACTGATTAGCCTAAGCAAGTAGTCTTCTTGTCATTGTTAACACAGCTGAAAACCTGTCAATCAACGTACAGTTATATTTATTGAAGTGTTCTTTGCCAAATTACTGAGGATTGTTTCCTCGATTTTGAATTTTCACTTACACGCGGTGACATTTCAATAAAGGTTAACAAATGTATACATTCTGAGGTTGTTCGGTATTAACACATCCACGTGTGCATGTGCATGCTTAACATTACAGTACTCTAAAGACTATCACTAACACTACGTACATATAAAATTAGGTGAGATAATAAGAACCGTGTAGAATTGAGATGGGCAAGCAATGATATACTAGTTGATGGGCGTGATAACCGAACATACTGAAAGGTTTCTGTTGCATTTTGAGTATTGGTCGTGGACTATTAATATCTTGGCAATGATGACTGTCACCTGTGACCATGACGTTTTCATTACCATATTTAACCATTTGCACCACTTGCATAGATCACGTGATGCAAGGAGAACCCACTTGGTTACCACGAGCGTAGAAATCCAGCCAATCCATAAGTGTTGAAAATAGACACTGTCGTTATGGCAACTGCTGGTGGCCTTACAACTGCAACACTTTCTTCTGGTCGCCCCAACAAAGAGTAATGTTTCTCAATGTGGTTTTTTGCGCGTGAGCATTTCTTCAATAGAAACTCCACTAGCTTGTCTTGACTACCATGTTTTGTAATGGCGGCGTGATGGATATCACCCCAGGTGTAATAGACTGTACCTCTTTCCACACTTGCTGGCCTGCAGAACGCCATGTCTTCAGATTTCAAGTTCCATATCTTGGTAACTCTTCCTAGAGGAAGCTCCCTGAACTTGAGCCTCATGTAAGGATCTCTGTGATTGGCTATCCACTGAGGTAGGCGTGGCATGCACGTGTTTAGAACAATCCACGTCCAAAGCCATCCAGGCAAAACACCATACTTTCCAGAATTATAAAATTTTTCGGATAAATAGTTATCCAGTATCTTCCTTGACATTGTAACATACCGATAGATGTCCAAGTACGCAACGAAGGGTTTCCTGAAGCGAAGATAAAGTCCAAAGTCTCTCCTACAGAGCTCTTTCCACAGCGGTTCGCAGTGTTTTGTAGTGTGACAAAGTCTCTTACAAGTCTGGCTGGAGCGAAGTATGGATCTTGCGTCCAGAAATGAAAATAGATAATAAATAACCTCTGCGCTCAGCTGAGAGATATAGCAAAACGTGTCTCGTTGGCTGCCATCTTCCATATTTCATAAAACGAGTCATTTTGAATTCGGAATTTCTACAAAAACCATGTCTAGCATGTATAGTAATTATTAAATATTTTTCACTTGTTTTTGCTTCTTTTGCCGTCGATAATTATTTATTAAACTATTAGCAGTTAATAATTTGATTAAGTATCTAAGCTGCGCAAAATTCATGTTTAGACTGTCTTATAATTAGCTCTTTTTGTTTGTTGACTTCTAATTGATCTGAAAAAGCGCGCGCTTTTTGTGACAAATAATACAAACTACAACAGGCGCGCGCGCTGTTTTCCTTTTCCTAGAAAAGATTTCTTCGGAAATCAAAGTCAGGACACGGCTAACTCACAAATTGGATTGAAATTTAGCGTATTACTTTTGCGGAGGGAAGAAGACCCCCGGAGAAACCGGAGAAAGACCCTTGAGGTCGTAAGCAAAATATATTCACATGTGATGCCGAGTACTTGGTTTTTTACTGCCAACATCTAGTACTTAGGCTATGAGTAGGTCCTTTCTTACGGTAGGTTTAAGAATATAAGATTAAAAATAAGAGGGCGGACGTCATTACTCATATTAATTAAGTCTAATTTCGATAGATCGAAGCGATAAATCTTTCCGACACTTGAGATAAATTTGTTGTTCATTGTCAACGTCAGCAGCTTGTTTTATAGCGCACATATACTGAGGAATTGAATTATGTTGAGAATGACATTTTTTCTACGCTAGCGAGTCTTCCAAAAAGAGACATCAAGCAGAGTGTTCATATTTTACCGCTGTCATGATATTGTTGGTGCCTTGCCACCGTTCTACTTGACTCTAGCTGCCTTCTGATTGGCCGTCGTGTTTAATAGAGTAATACACACGTCAGTATGCATTGTGATGAAGTTTATTTGTATTAATCTGCTGTCGAGAGCTATAGGGTCTGATCATCAGACTCAAAAAAAGCGGATAATAAATCTTGACTGATTTTTCCAACATTACATTACATGACTACTGATATCATTATACTCAAAACCTTCTCTATAAGGCAATACCTATTGAGCCCACTAACGTGCGCATGCACATTTAACCGATGAATTACCTGCATTGATGACTTTCAAAATCCCCTTCAAAATTTGCACGGAAGCTTATATATATATATATATTAATTTTTCGAAATAGTAGGTAAAGAGAAACTATTGAAAAAGACTTAGTTACAGCAGCAAAAAAACAATCTTATAAAATGGCATTGGTTTTACTCAAAGAAGAAAACGGTAAGTGTACATTTTTCTGCAATGCACGGCGTTCTGGGCAATAATAATAATAATAATATGTAGATGCTTGTATGGCGCATTTCTAGCCTCAAGGCGCCTTTAATACCTGAGTGACAGTCTAAATACACATATATATATTGCATAACGTATATTCAACTAAAATTTCTTTTAAAAAATATATCTTAAGCTTGGTTTTGAATCAATTATTCCTCAATAAATACTGAGAAGAATTATATTTTGCATAGCTGATTTCAGCTAATTTATTTTCAAAAATATTTCTGTAACTGAAACGATACCATGCACAAATTGGGATTCGTGAAGAAAAAACATGATATCGATCGCATATGACTTTGTTTGTTTGAACTCCATTGATTATTTTTTGGCCGTTCTCAGTTCACTAGTTATCAATTTTTACTACTATAACTGTATTGATTTTCCAAGACAATTCTCTATTGATTTATATCGTTAGTCAAAAGGAAATGCCTAGCATGGGACCTAGAGTCCCGTTCGCTCTTTCCTCTTTGGGTAGCATTTTGGTTCCGTAATTTTCCTTCCTGATTGATACCCGATAAAAGTTGTAAATGTACTGTACAAAGTTTGATTTTCGCTTCTCGTTTTTCAAAAGCTCGTTGGGTGTCTTCAATCGTGAACATCTAAAAATCACTTCGGGAACCACAATCTCTCCCCCCCCCCCNCTCCCTCCCTCCCTCCCTCTCCCTCCATCCATGCATCCGTTAGTTTCTTGGTTTTGATTTGAGGCGCTAGAAGCTAAACCTCTTTTATCCTGCTAAATGGTCATTAATAAATTCTTTATTTTCTCACGAATTTTCGCAAAAAGTCGCAAAACCGATTAAAGTTCCGCGAGACTTTCACTTGCAATAAGCTCGCGAACTGAGACCGCAATAACTGAGTAAAGGGTTAAAAATCAATTGAGTTTTGGCTAAAGGTCTGCGGCATTCCCCGATAATGAACCATTAAACGCCACTTTCTATCAAAATATATTATACTTAAATGCACATTGATGAGCCAAAATAAATAACAGCGACAATAATTTATTTATTCATATTCCTACGGCACTACGTTAACTGACTTTGGGCTCTAATGATAAAACGCCTATAGCTAATTTTGATACCAAAATTACTTTTGTTTTCTCCCGTTTTATATCATATATATATATATACTGTAAGGTAAAAACTGTCTATCGTGTTTAACCTTGATATACAGTATATAATATTCATTGAATATCATAGCTACGTCCGCAATCATATTTGCGGCTTTTAAGAGTCACTGGCTATATCACGCCAGATAATGATGATATGTAACTCATGATGAGCGACATTACGCCTAAATTCACTTCGCATTCTCACTCCAGCCACTAGAATCATTCACTCATTATATATGTTCTGTACCGTTCACCATGATTCTGATCAATTGCT